AGCAAATATTATTAATGTATTCTAAAAATAAGTATGTATAAAAAATCTTCCTAGTATATACAAAAAATGTACAACTTGTATGAAATAAATAGATATAAAAAAAATATTTTAAAAAAATGTTAATCACGTACTCGCTCCGTCTAATAAATAAGATCTTATTACACCCAGTATGTGAGCATGTTGGATGTAATAGGTCTTTATATTATAGGGCTGAGGGAGTATTTACAAAATTTTAAACATGTAAAGAAAAATGCTCCTGGTGCATACAAAAATTTACAATCTATACAAAAAAATTATTTAAGACATGAAAACATATGTTCAAAATATTGATCATGTTTCCAAAAGATGTTTATACAATTTTAAAAACTGTTTATGTGGTTACAAAAAAGTTTTGTGCCATTAAGAGATTGTTTAACATGTACTACCTTTGTATCAAAACATCTGACATTTTTGTAGGCTAAACTAGACTACAAAATGATTTTGATAGGGAGGGAGTGTCCATTTTTTCCAAAACATGTTTTTGAATTATGTAGATCATGTATTTGAAAATTATTCAGCATGTAGGAAAAAATGTTGCGCATGTTAAAAAATGTCCAATATGTATTGAAACGAGTAGACATGTGTTGAAAAAATAAAAAGAAAAAAAACAGAAAACCAAAGAAAATCGGTGAAGAAATGAAGAAAATTCAGAAAAAAAAAGGGTGAAGAGAAACAAAACAATCAAAGAAAGCCGATACAAACAACACATAGAAGTAAAAGAAAAGAGAAAAACAAAAATGTTTTAAAGCCTAGCAAAGACGTAGGAAAAGCACAGGAAAGAAGAAATAAAATTCCAAAGAAAATTGGTGAAAATTATAAAGAAAAACATAGAAAAAATGGCAAAAACTGGACTAGTCCAGCCAGACAGCAAAGAAAAAACTTGTCGCTACCGAGCAACGAGCAACAACCCGCGCAAGCCAACGAACTGATTGCTCAGCCGGTCCATTTTCAAGATCTCTTGAGACAAGACGTACTTACGAGTCAGCACGGGCGATACATAGCTCTCACGCTCCACCTTGCGCTTACAGCGCCATCTGGCGAATCAGCGCCCACGTGGAAGGTTCTTGGGCCTGATGAGGCTGTTGTATAAGGCTGGTTAGTGGGGAGTAACTTATACTAATGTCATCCATATGACACTAGTCTAAGTTACTATTTTCATAGTGCAAAGTAACATAGTACTAGTGTCATAGATGGCTTCATTTATTAACTTATAGACTTATCTTGTATTGGAAAGCGTTATGTTACAGTAACATATTATGTTACTATTTCTCATTAACTATTTGCCACATAAGCAAAATTTTCTTTGAGTGCGCTATGTTATTAGCTAAATTACTCCTACTATGACTAGCCTAAATAAGTGTCAAATCCACATGGAGCCGAAGAAAGGCACCGTAAACCCTGCAACTGTGTTGTTACTTAAGGTACGCAAGCAGACCGAAGTTTGGAAATTGTCTACTTTATGAGTTGCTGGGGAAACAAAATAAAGAGTTTTATTACACTACGAACAAGAAGGTAAAACAAGAATAAAGAGATACTACCTCCGTCCTGGTTTATAAGTCTTCATTGTATTTTATACCAAATTTTGACTAGCAATTTAATGAACAAAATATTAATGCATGTTATAAAAAATTATATCATTTGATTCGTATTTGAACATAGTTTTTAATTATATTACTTTTTATGACATACATGGATATTT